TCGAAACATAAAGACATATGTAGATTAAGTTTGAATAATACAATTAATAATAAAATATTTATTTAAAATCTATAAATTTGCGTAGATAATAATTTTATATCCGTAAAAACAAAAAGATATAATTATGTATAAGAAATAAAAGATGATGAATAAAATTAAATTAAGAAGTGGAGGTTTAAATACTTAAAAAATGTTGTTAGTTGTAACTTTCTAACATTAATAAGAAACTTATATTGGTAACCTTAAACTTATCTTTAGTAAGGACATTATTGGTAAAGAAACTACTATTCCTTTTAAGAGAGATTATAGATAGATAATGAAAAGAATTTGTTACTACATAAATAAGAAACTACTCTTCCGTTTAAGAAACTACTATTCCTTTTAAAGTAGGATACTTATAGAGTTCTTACACAACTCAGTTTGTTTTGTAAAAGCTACTTAAATAAGTTCATGAGCTCGAATAACTAATCGAGTCAAGGTCAAAGTTGTAAACGAGCCGAACCGAAATAAACGATCCTGAAATCGAGCTCGAGTTGACTCGTTAAGGCCTCGAGCTCGAGTCTTAACAAGCTGATCTCGAGCTTTTACGAGTTGAACTATAAAAAATTATATAAAAATTCTATTTTCAAGCCTTAACGAGCCTTATCGAGCTGAGCCGAGTCAGCTCGTTAGCCAAACGAGCTTTAAATGAGCTCGAGCTCATCTCGTTAAGGTCTCGAACTCGAGTCGAGTCGCTCGTTTAATTTAAAAGCACTAGTCGAGGTGAACTTGTTCGCGAACAGCTCGCTCAGATTTTAGGTTTATTTAACAAACTGAACTCGAGTTGGCTCGTTTATTAAACGAGCACGAGCTCGAACATAAGCTATTTTGCTTGAAGTTAATTCAGTTGTGTGTTGTGTTAGAGCATCTCCAACTCATCACTAGATCTGTAATTTTGCGCTAGAGTGGAGAAAATCATTCCTCTAACCCATCGCCAAATTACGTCGCTACAATAGAGGAGTGAATAGTGTTGCGCCAGTTCTGACGCAACACTGTAGCTTCTCGCTACATTTTATTATTATTATTATTTTTTTTTGTAATTTAATTCTTTGTGTATAGAATGTGTATGAGTAATTTTTTATAGTTTCATGCATTTTTTTGGCAAATTTAATATAATGTATATTAATAAGTGTATTTATTCTGTTACATAACTTTGTGCTTTTTATTTATTGATGTAATGATTTTTTTTTTATTTTAAAATAGTACCATTTGAATAAAAATTTACCATTATTTTTTTAGCATAATACTCTAAATAAATAA